TTCGACTGTGTCACCTTCAAGCGCTGTCGATAACGTACAGATTCTAAAAAGAAGTTTCAAATCACTGTATTATTTTCCGGATAAATTTTATTAACGGAGCTATGAGTTTTTTTGACATTGTTATATGTGAGGTTTTTAAAAATATTTTCGTAGATGTTGAAAGTATTTTTTGCGTTACAAGTTGAAATCATTTAGAAGAATCACTGAGAACTTTGAAGCATGGTACAGATGCTTTATTTTCTTGAATTGAAATACTTTGTATACATTGTATATTTATGATTTTCACATAAAATTGATCTGTTATATTAAATATACTACTGACATAAATGTTATAATACAAAATTTCAACTTCATTCACATTGAAAAGTGTCTTTCAAATTAATCTGACCGTAATCTAATGAAAAAAAAATGTGATGGAATATTTTGATGACTAGTAATATTTTTTTTTACTGATATCCATGAATAACAAAGTTTACATACATACATAAATATACTTAAGTTTGATTAAATGATATAAGTCAAGAATTTCATTTTAAGAACTCATTAACTAACAAACAGAAAGGAATGGAAATTTCGTAATCTTTACACAATCATTTTGAGCTGAATTGGATGATTTGATTTGTGTTTATTGAGGCTGTAATTTCTGCGCATCATATTCATTTTCTCATGACTAGCATTATCTTTCTTTACGCAACTGTTGTTACATCATCAGATCAGTTGTAAATAATATGCGGTTTAAAATCCCCCAAAAAATGAAGTTATTTCTTCATAAAACACTTTTTTGTTTCAAAGAAAAAAAAGGACCATACATCTTAGTTTAGTTTCTATCTTCTAGACTAGTAAATCATCAACTATTTCTTTCAGTCTTTTAATTGAATCAAAGAGAAATATATGAATATATATAAAATCCCTGCCCCTTGTGAAATAAATATTAGCATGTACGCATATGTATATATATGCATTTGCACAAAAACACGAAATACACAGGAAATGATTTTGAACATTGAACAGAAATTATCCTATGTAGTGTAGTAAATAAAAACTTTCAAAATTTATTAAACAATTCGAGGTTTTTTCTTTTCACTGAAAAAATTAAAACGGATATGGTAGATAGTTAGGTGGTTGTTAGTAGATAGATAAACTGGCTATATATATGGGTGATAATTAATCAATAGAAGAACATAACAGTATTTGTTCTGTTTCGTGCCAATGAAACGAATAATACACAGTAGATTGAGTAAGTTTATTTTGTATGTCTATATCAATATATGTCAGTGCTACTCTGAGATTTTATTTATGAATAGAAAATTGTCTAAAACATTACTACTGTACGAACGAAGAAGATATTTTTCAATAAATTCACATCAAGTTCTATGATTATGTCTTCAAATTAATGATCCCCCCAGAAAAAAAAAACAAAATTGGGCAGGTTTAGAATGAAATACATCGCTTCAATTGATAGCATGTGAAGTTCGGATTGTGTTGTGAAATAAAAAAATAAAGTAAGATATCTAGGTAAACCGGATGAGTTCGCTATGTATCATCATTATTTAATTGACCGGAAAAAGGAAATACAATTACGGCATCATAGATTTGTGATTTAATTATTTCATTAAAATAGACATCTTTTTAATTCTTTTCAAAATAGAAAAGTTTGTAACAGAATAAAATATCAAAAGTTACGTCAGAAAAAAAAATTTTTTTCCAGCACGGGGGGTGGGAATGAATACAGTCATGGGACAAATTTGCCTTGGACTAAATAAAATGAATTGTTATTTTGTATGTATTCAGACAAAAAATAATGAACTCAATTCTGTGAATATCTTTTATTTGAGAACTCAATAAGTTGATGTACATGCAGGCATGCATGCATGAATGTATACACATAGACAGAAATGAACAATTGTGTAAACTTTGTATAAGTTCTATTACTCAAAAATATATATACACTGACCTAGAATGACAAGCAAAGGTTTAAACGGAAAAATGGACGACATTCGGTTAATGTTTTCAAATCTACCTCCTGTAAAAAAAAAACAATGTCCCATTCAAAATCATACATAGCCTAAGGTTAAATGAAATGAAAATGTTAACAAGAATTAGAACAAGAAATAAGCCGAAAAAAACAGTGTCCTTTTTTAATTGATTACTACTTATGTCAGATTAAAAAATAAATAAATAGATTGCAGTGAAATCATATTAACTATAGACATTTGACTTCAGAGTTGATCAATTCTCATTTATTTGATATGGTTATAAACGTTTTTTTTCACTAAAGATTAGAATCTCTCAAAGTTTTTCTTGATTATCTATAAATTAAATTAATATTCTAAGTGAATGTCATTTATAATCAACAAACATTTAAAAAAAATTACAATTTCTATTAAGAAGTAATTGAATATTATAATTATTTTGCAATGATTAGATTGTATGTGTTTTTTTATTAAGAAATAAACTATTCAGGATTTGATTAGATAAATTCGCAATACATAGTACATTATTGGTTTATAAGAAAAACTTATATTTCCGACAGATAAGTTTTTACACATTTGAAATCATCAATCAATCATTGTTAGACCACCAGTAGAAACCTCGAAGCACTGAAAGACGGCCGTTTCGTCCTGGTATCGGACTCATCAGAAGCGCGCATCCACGACTCCGGCATCTTGCAGGATTCGAACCCAGGACCATCACCCATTCGTCTTTGGAAGTTACTGCCCATACACGACTGGGTTGAACTCCTCAACTAGAACTCCGAGAATTTCCTCACGAAGCTAGTCACTAGTGAGCACTGCTACGATATTTTGGGGCAGAGTTTTGGAGATTTGTGTTTTTACACATTTGAAATCATCAATCAATCATTGTTAGACCACGCGCACAATACCGGAGGCCCCGGGTTTGAATCCTGCAAGGTGCAGTAGTCGGGGATGCGCGCTGCTGATGAATCCCATACCAGGACGAAACTGCCGTCTTTCAGTGCTTCTAGGTTTCTACTGGTGGTCTAACAATGATTGATTGATGATTTTAAATGTGTATAAACAGAAACATCCAAAACTCTGCCCTAACATAAGTTTTTAAAAGATGGATTGATGTATCTTACTTTAGTTTCAAATAAAACCATCGACTATTCGATAGCTATTTCACGTTGACAATGAACATTAACGATTACACCATGAACAATGCTCGATTTTAATCAGCCTATAATATGAAAAGGTCGATTTTGACTATCTCATTCATAGACTTAGTTGAATATCACTAGTCACAACTGAAACTGATCTTCACTTGACCGCTAAAATAGAATCGGTGATATGCGTGAGAACAGATTAGCTTTTTTGAAATGACTAAATTATTCGCTTACGGAGTAACAGTTAATATTTCTAGGTTTATTTTTTTAGTGAATATCTTATCTAAAAGCCTTTTTCTGGTCATAAAAAAAATTGGGAAGTTTCAGATTTCAGTTTTTGATATAATTTTAGGAAAAAGATTGTATTACATATCCTTTTTGATTTCTGTATATTAGTTAACTATTCTTTAATTAACTTCAAATTCATTTGTATCGGTTGGTTGAATCTTCCTAATGATTTTTCGGACTGTAATTGATCAATCTCTTCAGCATATATGATGCATCTTGTGCTGATTGCCCGGATATTGTCTTCTTAAACTCTGAGCATTCTTAGCAGATTGGATTATTTCAGTAGAATACTGCCAATTAAAGTACTACTGAAAATCATCTAGTCATATTTGAAAATGAATGCGTTCTGCTTTGAAACACTTTGAAACACGCATTTGATGCTATTTAAATCACATGACTGATCGGTACTCGCGTTTAGAATCTCCATGGAAGTTATATTATTGAATCAACAATATGGAAGAAGTATATGATTAAAGTGATTGATTACTACGTAGTAATTATTATTATTATTATTATTATTATTATTATTATATTTATCTAATCTGTAATATTTATTAAATTGCAATGATGAAATTACACTCTGACTGCTGATCGACTCGTATAAAAACCTTAGTTTTACATGAAGTTGACTGCTACCTAGGTCTCTGGCTATTAAATTAGATAAAGTAGGTTTAAATATCAGAGTAATGACAGTCCCTTCAAGATTACAGTTACGATTTAGTGACTAATGCCAAATGTATTCACACTGCTAACACTACATTTAAATATTTAGAAACTATATTTTGTCTTCAACCTATTATTCATAAAGCGTATTTTGTTATCATTATTATTGTCTTCTTTTATCAACTTTTATTATTAGGAATCAATTTTAAATCAGATACAAAACAATACATTGAATTAGATGATACAAATGTGAAATATGCATCAACAACATTATTTCCAACGACAGGAACAACGCCTACCGTAGAATTTACACCATTATCATCGACAACAATAACATCATCATCCTCATCATCATCATCATTATTGTCATCACCAACATTTTCTCAATGTGTTGGTTGTGGTTTAATAATTTACGATCCATTTATGTTAAATGTTCAACCAAATTTAAAATGGCATATACGTTGTTTAAATTGTTCAAAATGTCTACGTTCATTGATGAATGATTCAACTTGTTTTGTACGTGATTGTAAAGCATATTGTAGAGAAGATTATTTTAAGTAAGTGTATATGGTAAAATAATTTTTTTGGAAATATTTTTATTATCCCGAAACTCTTTTAATTATCATGAATTTAAGTTTAATCAGTAGAATTATTCATAACTGTGGAATATGAGAGATGATTATTTTATTTGTCATTCATAGCTAGTCGGCAATCTTAAATTTACAACTTCGGTTAAATAATCTTCATACTCTATACGAATTAGATAGATTACGATGATCAGTCGTATCTATGAGGTAAATTTTGCTTCATTTCGAACTAGTCATATGGAAATACCTACAGTTCAGTGTTGATTTTTACACTCAAACTCAAATTCATTATCATACGCTTCAAATACCCAGTGTGTTATACATATTCACTGAGCTACTGAATTCAGATAGCCACTAATTTATTCAACAGTTACGATAATTATTTCCTTATTAGTTTGAACAAATGCATAAATACCAAAAAAAGAGATTGATTAAAATTCATTCTGAAAAAAGAAACCAACTGTAGTATAATTCAAACCTATTCAACAAATGATATAAACCATTCTATTTACTATAATTATTAATATATATATATATATATATATATATATATATATATATATATATATATTGCTTGTATAACAATCCTATATTGGATTGTCTTAGTTTCAATCTATCTATCTATCTATCATAACCTGATCCTAGAAACTAGTAAGACTTTGATTTGGCCATGAGATAAAATGACCATAGTATTATGGTTTTAAGAAATACCGATTTCATGGAATCGATGTCACCAAGTCCCATTGATATATATTGACACATGTAAACACAATCTATATGGGATACACGCAATGATGTTTAGATATTTTTAAACTATCAACTAATAATCTCTAATGACATGATATAATGAATTGATCAATGTTCAATGAATGGTTTATATCATTTAAAAGAATGAAAAATGGAAATATCGACAGAGATGTCACAGAAGTATTCTGATATCATCATCAGCAGCATCACAAAACAATAATTCAATGATAATGACATATTTCTAGTAGATTTAATTAATATTATGCATTTTAATAATAGATTTTGTATGATTTTAATTCGTTTAGAACAAATTCAGCGGTTCATTTAAATATCATGTTAATTTTTCGAAATGTTAAAATTTAGTTGCTAACTTGATATTTATATGGAAAACAAAACAAAACAAAATGAAACAGGTTTATTGAAATGCGAAATTCAATTCTTACATAATATCAATTAGATAATACATGTAGATAAGCACCATTTATTTACTTTTACAATATAGACTATTTATAAATTAAACTAAAAGTTTTTCTTGGATCATGCAATTATGTAGATTTTTATACATAGGAAATTACAACTACTAGTCATCATTTCTATTCAGGGAATATTTCTTTACCCCCAAGAATACATACAACTCAAGATATATATACACACCGATCTAGATATATGCATACATGGAAACAATCAAACAGTTTGTAATTGCAATCCCAATAACTAGTCTATTGTATAATGTCTAGTTTTTTTTACCAATGAAGAGACAATCAACAAGAGAGAAAGAGAGATTTCTTGTCAAGTTTTATGTTTCTTGTCATTTGTAACATATTATTAAGTAGCGTGAGAATATTTCTGTTCACATGGCATTCTTAAATTTTCATGTGTGTGTCTTTTCATGTCATATTAGACAGACTTATAAAATCAATCATATTATTTAATATTTTTACTGATTAATAGATTAAAACTAACGGTAGAAGGATTAATGTTATCTTATTACTAAGAGACTGGTGACAATTTTACATATATTGACTAATGAACTGTCATACTTTTATAGAAGTAAATCATATGATTAGTTAAAAGAAAAAATAATGAAATAGTCTTGTGAAGATCAAATCCACAAAGAGGTAGGTATATGCTTCATTCGAGTAGAGCTTCTATCAATAGTTTACATGTATAAGGTCTTATAGACAGTGTAGTGTTATTCATTGACAAAGATTGAGTTTAGTTTGTTCTAGGACTTAGAATGTACAAGTTTGTTAAGAGACTGGTAATACAGCTGCCTAAATGAGGTTTAAAATCATGATGATTATTTAAAGCTGAATGTTCTGAACATTCAACCATCTCAAGATCATTATACATGATTATCCGTGACTTGTTATTTTAGTCATGAAGTCGATGATGACTTATGGTAAACGCTAAGATGTTGTGGTCTTTTAATAGATACATTTTTAGTTTCGTTTAGAAACTTTATTTATAAGATGAGTTTTACTGCAGATAATATTTTGTAACTTGAAGTTTAGTAGTCGGTAATAACCACGTTTTTTCCAACTAATAGATCTTTTTCTTTCTCAACATGTTGATGATGAATTTATAATGAAATATTACACCTCGTTGAGATTTTAAACTCTTCTGTTATTTGCATATATTTTCACATTTGAAATCATCAATCAATCATTGTTAGACCACCATCAGAAACCTGGAAGCACTGGACGACCGTTTCGTCCTGGTATGGGACTCGTCAGCGGTGAGCATCCACGACTCCTGCACCTCACAGGGTTCGAACCTTAATTATTGTGCGCGAACGCCTAACCATCGAACCACTGAGCCGGTATCCGACGGTGTTAATGTCTAACTCTGATTGATTTACGGATTTTGCGCGACCTCACCCGAGAATTTCCTAACGAAGCTAGTGACTAGTGAGCAATGTTACGATATTTTGAGTTAGAGTTTCCGAGATTTGTGTTTATACACATTTGAAATCATCAACCAATCATTGTTAGACCACCATTAGAAACCTGGAAGCACCGTTGGATGCCGGCCCAGTGGTCCGATGGTTAGTCATTCGCGCACAAAACCGAGGGTCCCGGGTTCGAATCCTGCAAGTTGTAGGATTCGTGGATGCGCACTGCTGATTAGTTCCATACCAGGACGAAACGGTCGTCCAGTGCTTCCAGGTTTCTAATGGTGTTCTAACAATGATTGATTGATGATTTCAAATGTGTAAAAACACATATCTCCAAAACTCTAACTGAAAATATAGTTTCAAAAAATATCATGATGATAGATTATGACCTGAACAGTTAACTAAGTGTGAAATGATAATAGCAAGCGATTCACCAAGACAAAAGCTGGCATACCTGTTTGCAAAGATATGTATATGTATGTATGTAACAATAATAATAATAGACAGTTATGTTATTTTATGATTAATAATAATAATATATATTATTTTTAAAGAAAATCATTGTAATCAGGATAATAAAGTTTTTAATTAAAAAAGAAATGTTTCAGAGTAAATGTCAACAAATCATTCAATTATTTATCAAGTATTATTATTATTATTATATTTATTAAGACAAAATTAATTTTGCATTCTTATTCAATACGAAATAAATATATAAACAAAAAGATAGATGTATTCTAAAATGAAATAAAATGTAGTTGGTATTATTTCCATAGCATCATTTTCAAGTGGAGACTTAAATGTCATCTGTATTTTTGTTTGAAATAAGTGATATCCAATTGCCAATGCATCCATTCAGTTGTTCAGTACACTGACTTAATTACAAGGTTATCAAAACAACAATAATAATAATAATAAAAATAATAATAATAATAAACACCACGACCACTACCCTTTAAATATGTCAAACAGTTTTGAATGATAATCAGTCACATGAAATGACTTTCTTTTATGTTAATCAAGTGCCCACGTGTCATGATGATGCTTCTTTCTCTCTATAAAAGAAGTGTAATAAAATAAAAACAAAACTTTTTATTTACTTAAAGAAAATTTCTATCACAAATAAATTGAAACTAATCTACAACTGAATTGTAACGAGAACAAAAAAAACTTGAACAAGAGATGAAGCACATGAAAACAAGAGAATAGAAGAAGAATAAGAAGATGATGATGACGACGACGAGAATAAAGACATGATGACTTTATTAATTGATTAATGAATAAACATTTGTAAGAAAAAAAACAAATTAATGTTAAATGATGAATAAAGTTGATGAGTACGATGATGAATGATGGGCGAAAAAAGAAAAATAGAGATATGCAAAGATCAATAGCAGAAAATTCACTTTTGTTTGTATGTCAGAGAGAATAAGACACAGAGAGAGACACAGAGTAAGGCTTGGTCCTTGTCTCACTTAGTTTTATTTTCTTCTACACTTACACAAATTTATGGATATTTATTGGGAATGAAAATTAATTTGTTTATCTAAATAATGATGAATAGATAGATAGATTTCAAGTTTTGCATATGTACAAAGTAATACTGTACTGTATTATTTTTTAGTAAACAATATTATTAAACAATAGAAATGAGACTATATACTTTCTTTTCATAAAATAATTCACATTCAATGATATATATATATACATGCACACGATCAGATAACCATAAAAGCGACACTATAATCCGCATAATTTATACACGTGTAAATTCTCTGACCATATTAAAAGTTGACTTTAGACAAAAGATCATTGATGAGAAGTGATAGTCAGCAATGTGAGATGCTGCATGTGTACTTAATTTATGCTTAATTAAAATAAGAATTTATAATGTCAGTAATTGTATGTAGAATTGTTCTAAGGGTATAACAATATGAATATATTTTAGGGTAAATCTTAAAGAACACTTTCTATAATCACTAAAATTGTAAGAAAAAATTAGTGAAATTTCCCTGGTCTATTTGCTCGGCTGAAAATATTTCTTGTTATTCAAGAATGGTAGTTTTATCGTTCATTTCTAAATCACAGAATGTTTCGTGAATTTGCAAATTATCCACCAAGCTATAACTAACATCTGCTTTATCTGTAGAGACCAATTCATGATCTAAAATCTAGTTAATCACTAAAATTAAATACAAAAAAAATGAGTTGATTCTATAGTTCATAGTTCACGGTGTTAAAACGATTTATGCCAGGTTGAGTGAGTATGCTGTGGAAGTCCATGTAAGTTCATAGGATGTCATACTAACAATGAGTTTTTTTCCCT